TTAAATTACAGAGAAAAAAAAGAGTCTAGGTTTCAGTAGAAAACCCCGATTCTAGGTTTCAGTAGAAAAACCCAAGAGGCAGTTTCAGTAGAAAACAAGAGTCTAGTTTCAGTAGAAAAACAGAGTTTAGTTTCCGTTTGAAAACAAGTCCCCGTTCAGTTTGAAACCCCAAAAGGCCAAGGTTTACAGTAGACACAGAGGGCTAGTTACAGTTTGAACAAAAGAGTCTAGTTACAAGGGGACAAAAAAGAGTCTAGTTTCAGTAAAAACACAAGTTTAGTTAAGGGAGGAAAACAGGTCTAGTTTTCAGTAAACACAAGAGTTTTTTACAGAGAACACAGAGTTAAATTTCAGTAGAAAAACAGGGTCTAGTACATTGAAAACCGAGTTTAGTACAGTAGGAAAAAAGAGTCTAGTTACAGTTAGAAATAAAAAGAGTCTAGTTACAGTTTGAACCCAAAAGGTTTGTTTCAGTTTGAACACAGGGGGTTTTTGGTTTCAGTAGAAAACGAGCTAGTATTAGAAAAAACGAGTTAGTTACAAAAATTTTTTAGAACAAGAGTTAGTTACAGAGAAAATCTAGTTACAGTAGAAACGGGTTTTTAAATTAAGTAGGAAAAACAGAGTCGGTTTCAAATAGGAAAACAAGTTTAGTAAGAGAAAACAGAGTCTAGTTACCGTAAAACAAGAGTCTAGTTACAGTTGAACCCCAGGGGGAGTTACAGTGAAAAACAGAGTTAGTTACAGTTTTAAAAAACCCAAGTTAGGGTTTCAGGGAGGAAAACCCGGGGTCTAGTTTACAGTAGAACAAAGAGTCTAGTTTAAATAGAAAACAAGTTGTTACAGTTTGAACACAGAGTCTAGTTTTCAGTAGAAAACAGGGGTTTGTTTCAGAGGGAAAAACGGTCAGGTTTCAGTAGAAACAAAAGGGCTAGTTACCGTAGAACACAGAGTTAGTTTCAGTGGGCCCCAGAGTTGTTACAGTAGAAAAACCCCAAAATCTAGTTTTCAGTTTGAAAACAAGTCTAGTTGTTAAAAAAGAGTCTAGTTACAGTAGAACACAGAGGGTTTGTTACAAAGGGGAGAATTTTGAACAAAGAGTCTTTGTTTAAATAGAAACACAGAGGGTTTGTTTTCAGTAGAACCCAGAGTCTAGTTACAGTTTGAACACAGAGTCTAGTTTACGAGAGGTTAGTTTCGGGGAGAACACAAGTCTGTTTCAGTAGAACCAGAGTTAGTTACAGTAGAAAACAGGTTAGTTACAGGGAGAAACAAAAGGTTTTGTTAAAGTGAACACAAGTCTAGGGTTTCATAGAAAACCAGAGTCTGGTTTCAGTTTGAAAAACAGGTCAGTTACTTTGAAAGAGGTTTTGTTTCAGGGGAACACAGAGTTAGTTACAGTTTGAACACAGGTTTAGTTTTCAGTTAAACACAGAGTCTAAATTACAGTGAACCAGGTCTAGTTCAGTAGAAAAACCCCGAGTCTAGTTACAGTTTGAACACAGGGTTAGCAGTGAACCCCGAGGTTTTTGTTACGGAGAAAAACAGAGGGTAGACAGTAGAACACAAAGGGTTTTACAGTAGAAAAAAAGGTCTAGGTTTCAGTAGAAACAGAGCTAGTTCAGTAGAACCCCCGGGCTAGTTACAGGAACCCAGGGGTCAGTTACAGGAAAACAGGGCAGTTCCCGTTTTGAACCCAAAAGTCTAGTTACAGTGAACACAGGTCTAGTTACAGGGAAACAGAGCTAGTTACAGTGGGGAAAACCGAGTTAGTTAAAAAGTTAGAACACAGAGTTAAATTACGTAGGGAAAACCGAGTCTAGTTTCAGTTTGGAAACAGAGTCTAGTTAAGTTTTTGAACACAGAGGGTTTTGTTAAAGTTTTAAAAAAAGAGTCAGTAAAGAGAGGGGGCTTTTTTACAGTAGAACCCCAGAGTTTTAGAAGTAGAAAAACAGAGTCTAGTTACAGTAGAAAACAGAGTTTAGGGACAGGAGAACACAGAGTTTTAGTTACAAAAAAGGAGGTTTTTAATTTTAAAGGAGAAAAACAGAGTTAGTTTTCAGAGAAAGGGTTTGTACCGTAGAACACAGAGTTGTTACAGTAGAACCCCAAAAAAGGTCTAGTTTCAGTAGAACACGGTTTAGTTTCAGTTTGAAAACAGAGTCTAGTTACAGAAGGTTGTTTCAGGAGAAACGAGGAAGGAAAATTTTACAGTAGAAAAAACAGAGTTTTGTTCAGGAAAAGGTCTTTGTTTCAGTAGAACAAGAGTTTTTTAAAAATTGAAAGTAGAAAAACAGAGGTTTTTAGTTTCCGTTAGAAAAACAGAGTTTATTACGTAGGAAAACAGAGTCTAGTTACAGAGAGGGTTTGTTTCCCGTTGGAAACAAAGAGTTTAGTTACAGTTGAACACAGAGTTAGGAAGTTTGACACAGAGTTTAGTTACATTTGAAAAAACAGAGTCTAGGTTTCCAAGGGGGTTTGTTACAGGAGGAAAAACAGAGTTAGTTTCAGTTTGAACACAGGTTTTAGGGACAGAGAACACAGAAGTCTGTTTCAGTAGAACCCCGAGTTAGTTACAGTGAAAAAAAGTTTTAGTTCCCGTAGAAAAACAGAGTCTTTTACCCAGAACACGAGTTTAGACAGGAAAAAAGGGCTTTGTTCCGTAGAAAAACAGAGTCTATTTCAGTAGGAAAAACAGAAATCTAGTTACAGTTTGAACAAAAGGTTAGTTACAGGTTGGGAAAACCCCGAGTTAGTTACCCGTTTGAACACAGAGTCGTTACAGTTTTGAAACACCCCGAGTTTAGTTACCAAATAGAAAAACCCCGAGTCAGTTTTCAGTAGAACAAAGAGTTAGTTTTTCAGTTTGAAACACAGAAGTCCCCAGTTACCGAGAAAAAGGGCCCCAGTTACAGTAGAACACCCGAGTCTAGTTACAGGGAGACCCCAGAGGGGCTAGTTTCAGAGTTAAAAACAGAGCTAGGTTTCGAGAAAAAGGGCTAGTTACCCGGGGAAAAACAGAGTCCAGTTTACAGGTAGACACCGAGGTTTTAGTTACAGAGAAAGGTTTTTAGTAAAGTAGGGAACACAGAGTCTTTGTTTTTTCAGAGAAAAAGGGTTTGGTTTCGTAGAAACCCAGAGTTTAGGTAAGTAGAAAACAGATCCTTTGTAAAAGTAGCCCCAGAGGGGTCCCTTTTTTGTTTCAGTAAAAACACAGGAGGGGAATTTGTAAACCAGTTTTTAAAACAAAAAAGTCTGTTACCATTTGAACAAAGAGTCTAGTTAAAGTAGAACCCCAGAGTCTAGTTTCAGTAGAACAAAGTTTAGTTAAAATTTGAACACAGAGTCTATTACAGTTTTGAACACAGAGGGCTAGGGACAGTTTTGAAAAAACAAGGTTTGTTACAGTAGGGAAAACAGAGTCTAGTTTTCAGTAGAACCAGAGTGGGTTTTCAGTGGAAAACCGAAGTTTTTAGTTTTTCAGTAGAAAAAAGATTTGGTCAGGGGGTTTTTGAAAAAGAGGGCTACAGGAGACCCGGAATTTTTACAAGGGGGGTCCCCTCATTCCCGATCCTTTCCTTCCGGCTTACTCTAAATTCCCTCTTCCCTGCATGCCTTTCACCGATCAGAAGATTCCGTTTTTGGGAACCCAGGCTTGGTTAAATTTGGGAACACCCAAAACAACTGGTTTTCCCGATTAAAGTTTTTCAGTTTTTGGAAAAAGCGGATATTTTTTGAACCAAAACAAACAAAATTAAATTGAAAATTTTTTTGTGGGCTGAAGTTATTAAAAAAAATTTTCCCTTTTTGGGAATTTTTTTTTTCCCTTTTGGTTTTATTGTTTCCCCAAAAAGAAATCTGTCTTTTCCCAATTCCCAAATTCCCAAACTTAATTTATTTATTAAGGAGAAATCCAGGGGGGACTTTTAGGGAAAAGACTTACTTTCAGTTTTTGAAAGGAAAATCTATTACAGTAAAAACCAGGGGGGAAAAACATTATTAAACACCCCACTTGGGAAAAAACTTTTTAAACACCCCCACTATTTTTTAAGGAAACAAAATAATTTTAAAAACTTTCCCTAGTTAAGGAAAACTATTATTACCCGTTTTTTTTAGGGAAAAAGAGATTATTTTACAGCCCCACTTTTTGGAAGGGAGTCTAGTTACAGTAGAACACAGAGTCTAGTTACAGTAGAACACAGAGTTTAGTTACAGTAGAACACAGAGTCTAGTTACAGTAGAACAGAGTTAGGGTCAGAGGTCTGTTGCAGTAAAGAGGGCTACAGAGAGACTCCTGGTACCTTTTTATTGGCCAGGTCGAGTCACAGCTATCGACTTCACAGAGTCCTAGTTACGTAAACACAGCGTCTAGTTACAGTTGACAGAAGTACGTGACCAGAGTCTAGTTACAGTAAACAGGAGTCTAGTCACAGAAACCAGGCATACTTCTTCAGTAGAAACAGAGGGCGTTACGTAGAACACAGAGTCATAGTTACAGTAAACACAGTAGTCATGAATGTAGAACAAGTTGGTCAGAGGTCTTTGCAGTAACAGCAGTTGTACAGAGAGACTTCTGGTACCTTTTTCATTGCCAAGGTCGAAGCCCTATCATTTGAACTTATCGCTCCCCTGAGGGATCCTACTTATCGCTCCCCTCACTGCATGTCTTTCAGCTTGATCAGAAGCTCCCTTGGCGCCGAACGTTTATAGGTCGAGCTGGTCACCAAAATACTGCTGCCACTAACTGTTACTGCAGTCTGAATAAGGAGGATCATTTAGAACACAACACATACAAAGTTGAAATTAGATCTGTGGGACTGAAATCGCCAATTCAAAAGATCATATACAGTGGCTATATTACAAGCAGCTCCTTTGAATGATTCATCTCATGAGATCTTTTATACTAATCCACAATCAAACCTCGTAACATTATGAATATAATCAGCTCCACTATGAGAAGGAAGACTATTACAATACAGATCCACTATATGAGATAAGCACTATATAATACAGCTCCCACTATGAGAAGAAGAGATAGAATTATAATACAGCTCCCACTATGAGAAGGAAGACTATTATAATACAGCTCCCACTATGAGAAGGAAGACTATTATAATACAGCTCCCACTATGAGAAGGAAGACTATTATAATACAGCTCCCACTATGAGAAGGAAGACTATTATAATACAGCCCCACTATGAGAAGGAAGACTATTATAATACAGCTCCCACTATGAGAAGGAAGACTATTATAATACAGCTCCCACTATGAGAAGGAAGACTATTATAATACAGCTCCCACTATGAGAAGGAAGACTATTATAATACAGCTCCCACTATGAGAAGGAAGACTATTATAATACAGCCCCCACTATGAGAAGGAAGATAATTATCATACAGAGACCACTATTAGAGAAGGAAACTATATAATACGATCCCATTATGCAGAAGGAAGACTATTATAATACAGCTCCCACTATGAGAAGGAAGACTATTATAATACAGCTCCCACTATGAGAAGGAAGACTATTATAATACAGCCCCACTATGAGAAGGAAGACTATTATAATACAGCTCCCACTATGAGAAGGAAGACTATTATAATACAGCCCACATGAGAAGGAAGACATATAAACTTAATAAAGTAACTATGATGAAGGAAGACTTCATATAAGCTCCCACTATTTAGAAGGAGACCATATGAAAGGCACCACTATGAAGAAGACCTATTAAATACAGCCCACTATGAGAAAGCCACTATTATAATACAGCTCCACTATGAGAACGAAAGAATTATATAATACAGCCCCACTGAGAAGGAAGACTATATAATACAGCTCCCACTAGAGAAGGAAGACTATTATAAACAGCTCCCACAGAGAAGGAAGACTATTATAATCATCCCATACGAGAAGGAAGACTATTAATACAGCCTCCATACGAGAAAAAGACCTATTATATACAGACCACTAAAGGAAGTCACTATTATAATACAGCTCACTAAACAGGAAGGAAGATATTATAATACATCCCACTAGAGAAGAAGAACTTTTTATAATACAGCCCCACTATGAGAGGAAGACTATTATAATACAGCTCCCACTATGAGAAGGAAGACTATATAATACAGCCCACTATGAGAAGGAAGACTATAAATACAGCTCCACTATGAGAAGGAAGAATATATAATAAAGCTACCACTATGAGAATAAGTCACTATGAAGAACAGCTCCACTATAGAAAAGCACTATATAATCAGCCCATTATGAGAAGAACGACTATTATAATACAGCTTCCACATAAAGCTATAAAATACAGCTCCACTATGAAGAGGAAGACTATTATAATACAGCTCCCACTATGAGAAGGAAGACTATTATAATACAGCCCCACTATGAGAAGGAAGACTATTATAATACAGCTCCCACTATGAGAAGGAAGACTATTATAATACAGCCCCACTATGAGAAGGAAGACTATTAATACAGCTCCCACTATGAGAAGGAAGAACTATTATAATACGCCCCACTATGAGAAGGAAGACATCATAATACAGCCCCACTAGGAAAGACTATTATAAACAATACAGCCATATGAGAAGGAGACTATTATAATACAGCCCCACTATGAGAAGGAAGACTATTATATACAGCTCCCTCACGAGAATATATAAGCACTATAAAGACAGCTCACTATAGAAAGAAGACTATTATATAAGCTCCCACTATAGAAGGAAGACTATTATAAACAGTCACACTATGAAAGGAAGACTCTATATACAGACTCCCACTATGAGAAGGAAGACTATATAAACAGCTCCCACTATGAGAAGGAAGACTATTATAATACAGCTCCACATAGAAAGAAGACTTATATACAGCTCCCACTAAGAGGAAACTATATAAACAGCTTCACTATAAGGAAGACTATATAATACAGTCCCATATATGAAGGTAAGACTATTATAATACAGCTCCACTATGAGAAAGAAGACTATATAATACAGCTCCCACTATGAGAAGACATTATATAAGCCAAGAGAAGGAAGACTATTATAATACAGCTCCACTATGAGAAGGAAGACTATTATAATACAGCTCCACTATGAGAAAGAAGCTATTATAATACAGCTCCCACTATGAGAAGGAATAAAGAAGCTCCCACTATGAGAAAAGACTATAACAGCTTCCAGAAGGAAGGATAACTATTATAAAAGCCCACTATGAGAAGAAAGACTATATATAATACAGCTCCCACTATGAGAAGGAAGACTATTAATACAGCTCCCACTATGAGAAGGAAGACTATTATAATACAGCTCCCACTATGAGAAGGAAGACTATTATAATAAGCTCCCACTATGAGAAGGAAGACTATATAATAAGCTCCACTAGAGAATACTACTATAAAGAAGCTCCCAATAGAGAAGGAACATTATAATACAGCTCCCACTATGAGAAGAAGACTATTATAATACAGCTCCCACTATGAGAAGGAAGACTATTATAATACAGCTCCCACTATGAAAGAAGTATATAATACATCATCAGAGTCGCACTATTTGAAGAAGACTATTAAAGAAGTCCCATTATAGAAGAAGACTATGATAATACAGACCTATATGAGAAAGGAAGAATTATAATACAGCTCCCACTATGAGAAGGAAGACTATTATAATACAGCTCCCACTATGAGAAAGAAGACTATTATAATACAGCTCCCACTATGAGAAGGAAGACTATTATAATACAGCTCCCACTATGAGAAGGAAGACTATTATAATACAGCTCCCACTATGAGAAGGAAGACTATTATAATACAGCTCCCACTATGAGAAAGAAGACTATTATAATACAGCTCCCACTATGAGAAGGAAGACTATTATAATACAGCTCCCACTATGAGAAGGAAGACTATTATAATACAGCTCCCACTATGAGAAGAAGAATTATATTAATACAGCTCCCACTATGAAAGAAGACATCATATACAGGCTACCCATTATGAAAGGCAAGAATATTATAATACAGTCCCACTATGAGAAGGAGACTATATAATACAGCTCCCACTAGAGAAGGAAGACTATATAATACAGCTCCCACTATGAGAAGGAAGACTATTATAATACAGCTCCCACTATGAGAAGGAAGACTATTATAATACAGCTCCCACTATGAGAAATAATACTATTATAATACAGCTCCCACTATGAGAAGGAAGACTATTATAATACAGCTCCCACTATGAGAAGGAAGACTATTATAATACAGCTCCCACTATGAGAAGGAAGACTATTATAATACAGCTCCCACTATGAGAAAGAAGACTATTATAATACAGCTCCCACTAGAAAGAAGAATATACTATATAATACAGTCCACTATGAGAAGGAAGACTATTATAATACAGCTCCCACTATGAGAAGGAAGACATTATAGGTTAGTTAAGGTAGTTAGGTAGTAAGGGTATAGGTAGGTTAGGTAAGGGTTATGGTTAGGTTAGGGTTAGGGTTAGCGTTAGGTAAGGGGTAGGTGTTTAGAGCAGTCACTGACCTGTCCTCTGAAGGCAGTGGTGAGGAGTGTTTGGGGGACACCTTCCTCCTCTCCTTCCCCTCCAGCAGCACTGCTCCCTGGGGGAAGAGTCCCTCCATCAGGTCCATGGTGGTCCTCCTCCGGTTCTTGTCCAAGATGTCAGCTAGGGACCGGTCCTTATTCATGATGTCTCTGGCCAGCTGCTCTCGCTTCACATCCTCCTCAGAGTGGGGGAGAGGGATGGGTGGGGACACGCCGTTACTGCTGGGGGGGTCTGGGGCTGAGGGGGTCTGCTGGCTGGGTGGGGGGTGTAGCCAGTACTGGGGCTGGGGCTGGGTAAGGGGGTGGGGGTGGGGGGTGTAGCCAGTACTGGGGCTGGGTAAGGGGGTGGGGGTGGGGGTGTAGCCAGTACTGGGGCTGGGTAAGGGGGTGGGGGTTTAGCCAGTACTGGGGCTGGAGCTTGGTAAGGGGGTGGGGGTGTAGCCAGTACTGGGGCTGGGGCTGGGTAGCTGGGTGGGGCCGGTGCCTTCTCTCTCTCTGGCCCCTGGTTCCTCTGCTGGCTGTAGGCACAGAACAGAGAGTAGGACTGTTCTGGGACCCCTGAGGTCCCCAGGCTGCTGAGGGGGACCAGGCCGGGCCCCTGGGCTTCTTCCCCTGTGGAGTCACTGTGACGCAGCAAGTACTGTCGGCTCTCCTTCTCCTTCTCACTCTCTGAGTGAACGATCTTTATAGGAACCTTCCTCACAGAGTTACTGGTTGGCTCCATCACATTCTCCATCCTAGAATCATCACAGACACACACGGATGGAGAAAGGAGGGGGGGAGTGGGGGAGAGGGAGAGCGAAAGCAGTTAGAGAACCCAGAGAGAACACTCAGACCATGGAACAGGACAGCAGTTAGAGAACCCAGAGAGAACACTCAGACCATGGAACAGGACAGCAGTTAGAGAACCCAGAGAGAACACTCAGACCATGGAACAGGACAGCAGTTAGAGAACCCAGAGGAACACTCAGACCATGGAACAGGACAGCAGTTAGAGAACCCAGAGAGAACACTCAGACCATGGAACAGGACAGCAGTTAGAGAACCCAGAGAGAACACTCAGACCATGGAACAGGACAGCAGTTAGAGAACCCAGAGAGAACACTCAGACCATGGAACAGGACAGCAGTTAGAGAACCCAGAGAGAACACTCAGACCATGGAACAGGACAGCAGTTAGAGAACCCAGAGAGAACACTCAGACCATGGAACAGGACAGCAGTTTAGAGAACCCAGAGAGAACACTCAGACCATGGAACAGGACAGCAGTTAGAGAACCCAGAGAGAACACTCAGACCATGGAACAGGACAATCCAGGCAAACGCCTTAAAAAGTCCAAAAGCTGAACTACAGTTATTCTACCATCCAGGGGCTGATTGTCACATGACATGATGATGACATGACAGGCTTTTTTCCCCTCTGTGCCCAACATCCTGGCAATGCTGAGAGACTCTGGGCTCCTCCCCTCACCCCTAACCCAGCATGGCTGGAATGTCCAGTAAGCCACAGAGCTCTGTTCTCTTCTCTACAGATGATATCAATTATGTTTCAATTCAGAGCCGCAACAAACGGCCTCTGTAACAGATCACGTCCGTCTGCTCTGGAAATGCATCGGAGCTGTTAAACTATGCTGCTACTGCGTTGGTTGAGTTATTCACATGGTAATGCTGCTGGATGGAGACAGAAACTCAATAAGAGTCTTTGTACAGAGAGACTGAGGAGAAGAGGAGCAGACCAGTCACTACAGACCACTACAGACCACTACAGACCACTACAGCTATGCAAAGGATAAGAAATAGATAACTCCAAGTCTATATATCATAGTTCCAACTAGATCAGAGAGTGAAGTCTAATCTTACCTGTTGTTCTGGTCATGGTGCAGACGGACCGAGACAGAGACAGGGTTGTCATGGTTCTGCTGAAGAAAGACAGGAGGCTTGTCTGTCAGCTGAGGAGGAGCAAACTGGGGAGAGGGAGACCGCTGGCACTTCATACTGGGCAGGGCAGGAAGGGCTGGACCAGGATTGGATGGCACTACCTGGTGTACCGCCTCCTGCTCCCTCTCCACCAATCCTCTGCTTTGCTCAGAATCCCTCCTTGGGGAGTGGATGGGACCAGAGGCAGAGTGGGAGGAGACCGGGGCATGGGAGGTGGAGGTTCCGCCCTGAGAGCTAGACAGACACTCCTGGGAGAGTGTGTTCTCAGGATGTCTAGAAGGGTCTTGTCTGGGTGGGGGGACAGGACCCTTCCTCCTGGTACCAGACTGGAGCTGGGTATAAAGCTGGGGTATAGAGGTCTGGGGCTGGGGTTCAGGATCACTGTAGGACTCATCTGGGGGTGGGTGGTCAGTGTCTAGGGGCTGGTAAGAGATGGATGTGGGTCTGTGGTAGGCAGGGCAGGGGGCAGAAGTTACCGGGAGGGGGTCGTAGGGGGCAGCGGTGGGTCTGATGTCAGGGCTCTCCTCGTTGGTCACGGGTGGAGGGGGTTCTGGGAAGTCTTTCAGCTCCGGAGGTTCCAGAGCCTTCTCTCTCTTCACTCTCCCTCTGAATTCTCCACCACGACATCTGTCAGATAACCTGGGAGACAGCATAGTCAAATACTGTACACATGAAGACAGACACACACAACAGAGAATGTCATGTTGACACCAGCTAAATGAACTAATAATGATTGTAACTAATAACTAGGACATGACAGGACACACTCCCTCCTTCCTGCTAACTGTGGGCTGCCAGTCTTATGACATATTTGTGTTCCCACAGCCCCGTCAAAGAGGATAATAAATGATCCTCCAACGCCTCTCTGGCTCAGATGACTCTTGTTCTTTCTCAATAATTTCACATCTTTAACCCTTGGATGTCAAAGCCTCTGGATTTATGGTTCAAGGCTGTGGGACAAAATGCTCCTGTGTGATGGCTGCTGAGAGGTCAGGCCTATAACAGACCACTCAGAGGTCAGGCCTATAACAGACCACTCAGAGGTCAGGCCTATAACAGACCACTCAGAGGTCAGGCCTATAACAGACCACTCAGAGGTCAGGCCTATAACAGACCACTCAGAGGTCAGGCCTATAACAGACCACTCAGAGGTCAGGCCTATAACAGACCACTCAGAGGTCAGGCCTATAACAGACCACTCAGAGGTCAGGCCTATAACAGACCACTCAAGGTCAGGCCTATAACAGACCACTCAGAGGTCAGGCCTATAACAGACCACTCAGAGGTCAGGCCTATAACAGACCACTGGGAGATTTACATCAGAGATATATTATAGTAGCAACACTAAGTCCCTGCTCCCCCCAGCCCCTCCCTAAAAAAATAAAATTTGGAGAGAATCTGGACACTTTTTTTTTAATGGGATAAGTTTGGCCAGACGGGATAAGTTTGGCCGACGGGACAAGTCAGCCACATAGGATAAGTTCGGCCAATAGGATAAGGCCCGCCTGTCAGACAGGGCAAGTCGGCCAGATAGCATAGATTCGCATAGGTAACCACATTCTTGTCAAATGTACACCTAATCTAGGAATCATACCTGTCGCAAGCGCATGAGGGGGTACTTCAGTCAGGTCAACGTGTTTAAGGGGTACAGTACCCCAAAAAGGTTGGGAACCACTGAGATAGGACAAGTCGGACAGGTTGCATAAGTTTGGCCAACAGGAAAAGGCGGCCAGATGGGACAACTTTGGCCAGATGAGACAAGTATGGCCGGTCAGACAGATGGGACAAGTCCGGCCAGGTGGGACAAATCTGCCAGATATGATGAGTCGACAACACAACTGTAACCTGCTGTAAGGTTCAACAGCACAACTGTAACCTGCTGTAAGGTTCAACAGCACAACTGTAACCTGCTGTAAGGTTCAACAGCACAACTGTAACCTGCTGTAAGGTTCAACAGCACAACTGTAACCTGCTGTAAGGTTCAACAACACAACTGAAACCTGCTGTAAGGTTCAACAACACAACTGTAACCCGCTGTAAGGTTCAACAACACAACTGTAACCCGCTGTAAGGTTCAACAGCACAAATGTAACCTGCTGTAAGGTTCAACAGCACAACTGTAACCCGCTGTAAGGTTCAACAACACAACTGTAACCTGCTGTAAGGTTCAACAGCCTAGCTGATAGCTGCTGTAAGGTTCAACAGCACAAATGTAACCTGCTGTAAGGTTCAACAACACAACTGTAACCTGCTGTAAGGTTCAACAACACAACTGTAATCTGCTGTAAGGTTCAACAACACAACTGTAACCTGCTGTAAGGTTCAACAACACAACTGTAACCTGCTGTAAGGTTCAACAACACAACTGTAACCTGCTGTAAGGTTCAACAACACAACTGTAACCTGCTGTAAGGTTCAACAACACAACTGTAACCCGCTGTAAGGTTCAACAGCACAACTGTAACCCGCTGTAAGGTTCAACAGCACAACTGTAACCTGCTGTAAGGTTCAACAACACAACTGTAACCTGCTGTAAGGTTCAACAGCACAACTGTAACCTGCTGTAAGGTTCAACAACACAACTGTAACCCGCTGTAAGGTTCAACAGCACAACTGTAACCCGCTGTAAGGTTCAACAACACAACTGTAACCTGCTGTAAGGTTCAACAGCACAACTGTAACCTGCTGTAAGGTTCAACAGCCTAGCTGATAGCTGCTGTAAGGTTCAACAACACAACTGTAACCTGCAGTAAGGTTCAACAACACAACTGTAACCTGCTGTAAGGTTCAACAACACAACTGTAACCTGCTGTAAGGTTCAACAGCACAAATGTAACCTGCTGTAAGGTTCAACAGCACAAATGTAACCTGCTGTAAGGTTCAACAACACAACTGTAACCTGCTGTAAGGTTCAACAGCACAACTGTAACCTGCTGTAAGGTTCAACAACACAACTGTAACCCGCTGTAAGGTTCAACAACACAACTGTAACCCGCTGTAAGGTTCAACAGCACAACTGTAACCTGCTGTAAGGTTCAACAACACAACTGTAACCTGCTGTAAGGTTCAACAGCACAACTGTAACCTGCTGTAAGGTTCAACAGCCTAGCTGATAGCTGCTGTAAGGTTCAACAACACAACTGTAACCTGCAGTAAGGTTCAACAACACAACTGTAACCTGCTGTAAGGTTCAACAACACAACTGTAACCTGCTGTAAGGTTCAACAACACAACTGTAACCTGCTGTAAGGTTCAACAACACAACTGTTACCTGCTGTAAGGTTCAACAACACAACTGTAACCTGCTGTAAGGTTCAACAGCCTAGCTGATAGCTGCTGTAAGGTTCAACAGCCTAGCTGATAGCTGCTGTAAGGTTCAACAACACAACTGTAACCTGCTGTAAGGTTCAACAACACAACTGTCACCTGCTGTAAGGTTCAACAACACAACTGTAACCTGATGTAAGGTTCAACAACACAACTGTCACCTGCTGTAAGGTTCAACAACACAACTGTAACCTGCTGTAAGGTTCAACAACACAACTGTAACCTGCTGTAAGGTTCAACAACACAACTGTAACCTGCTGTAAGGTTCAACAGCACAACTGTAACCTGCTGTAAGGTTCAACAACACAACTGTAACCTGCTGTAAGGTTCAACAGCACAACTGTAACCTGCTGTAAGGTTCAACAACGGTTCAACAGCCTAGCTGATAGCTGCTGTAAGGTTCAACAACACAACTGTAACCTGCTGTAAGGTTCAACAACACAACTGTAACCTGCTGTAAGGTTCAACAGCCTAGCTGATAGCTGCTGTAAGGTTCAACAACACAACTGTAACCTGCTGTAAGGTTCAACAACACAACTGAAACCTGCTGTAAGGTTCAAACAACACAAACTGTAAACCTGCTGTAAGGTTCAACAACACAACTGTAACCTGCTGTAAGGTTCAACAGCACAAATGTAACCTGCTGTAAGGTTCAACAACACAACTGTAACCTGCTGTAAGGTTCAACAGCATAAATGTAACCCTGTAGGTTCCCCCTCTGTAAGGTTCAACAACACAACTGTAACCTGCTGTAAGGTTCAACAACACAACTGTAAACCTGCTGTAAGGTTCAACACACAACTGTAACCTGCTGTAAGGTTCAACAGCACAAATGTAACCTGCTGTAAGGTTCAACCAGCACAAATGTTAACCTGCTGTAAGGTTCAACAACAACAACTGTAACCGGCTGTAAGGTTCAACACACAACTGTAACCCGCTGTAAGGTTCAACAAGCACAAATGTAACCGCTGTAAGGTTCAACAACAACCACAACGTAAAACCTGGCTGTAAGGGTCAACAACAACTGTAACCTGCTGTAAGGTTCAACAGCCTAGCTGATAGCTGCGGTAAGGTTCAACAACACAACTGTAACCTGCTGTAAGGTCAACAACACAACTGTAACCTGCTGTAAGGTTCAACACACAACTGAAACCTGCTGTAGGTTCAACAACACAACTGTACCTGCTGTAGGTTCAACAGCACAACTGTAACCTGCTGTAAGGTTCAACAGCACAACTGTAACCTGCTGTAGGTTCAACAACACAACTGTAACCTGCTGTAAGGGTTCAAACAGCACAACTGTAACCTGCTGTAAGGTTCAACAACACAACTGTAACCTGCTGTAAGGTTCAACAACACAACTGTAACCTGCTGTAAGGTTCAACAACACAACTGTAACCTGCTGTAAGGTTCAACAACACAACTGTAACCTGCTGTAAGGTTCAACAGCACAACTGTAACCTGCTGTAAGGTTCAACAACACAACTGTAACCTGCTGTAAGGTTCAACAGCACAACTGTAACCTGCTGTAAGGTTCAACAACACAACTGTAACCTGCTGTAAGGTTCAACAGCCTAGCTGATAGCTGCTGTAAGGTTCAAACAACACAACTGTAACCTGCAGTAAGGTTCAACAACACAACTGTAACCTGCTGTAAGGTTCAACAACACAACTGTAACCTGCTGTAAGGTTCAACAACACAACTGTAACCTGCTGTAAGGTTCAACAGCCTAGCTGATAGCTGCTGTAAGGTTCAACAACACAACTGTAACCTGCTGTAAGGTTCAACAACACAACTGTAACCTGCTGTAAGGTTCAACAGCACTAAGCTGATAGCTGCTGTAAGGTTCAACAACACAACTGTAACCTGCTGTAAGGTTCAAACAACACAACTGTAACTGCTGTAAGGTTCAAACACACAACTGTAACCTGCTGTAAGGTTCAACAGCACAACTGTAACCTGCTGTAAGGTTCAAACACACAAATGTAACCTGCTGTAAGGTTCAACAGCACAACTGTAACCTGCTGTAAGGTTCAACAAACACAACTGTAACCTGCTGTAAGGTTCAAACAACACAACTGTAACCTGCTGTAAGGTTCAACAGCCTAAGCTGATAGCTGCTGTAAGGTTCAACAACACAACTGTAACCTGCAGTAAGGTTCAAACAAACACAACTGTAACCTGCTGTAAGGTTCAACAACACAACTGTAACCTGCTGTAAGGTTTCAACAACACAACTGTAACCTGCTGTAAGGTTCAACAGCCTAGCTGATAGCTGCTGTAAGGTTCAACAACACAACAACTGTAACCTGACTGTAAGGTTCA